AAAATCTTTTTATGAAATGACTGTTAGGATTTCTGGTTCATTGTATGTGACTTCTAATACCTTCTTCTCTGAGGTTTTTGATCTGTCTTGCTTGTTGAAAAATACGGAGGGAGTTATAGAAGATAATGTTAAACTGATGGGTAAAAATATGAGGGCAAAATTTGATAAGTATTGGGGTGAGCCTGAAAAAATGAATTTTTTGATATTCTATGCAAATATCTTAGACCCCAAGGATAAAATTGAGTATATGCCCATTCAGTTTAACCAGTTATATGGTGAGGACAAAGGTAAAGCAATGTTTGATAAGGTTATTGTTGGCCTTAAGGAGTTGTTCAAGATTATGTTGCATGTTTCCCTGTCCAGTCTGTTGAACAATCTGACAAATCTTCTCCCTCAATAACAATATCTGATTCTGTTTCTGTTGGGAGACCTCAATCATTATTGAAATCTTAGATTAAGAAGCAAAAATTGGAGAGTGGAGATTTGTCTAGGAAAAAAACTGAGTTGGAAGTGTATCTCTCTGAAGTTATTGTGGATGAGGAGGATTCTTTTGACATTCTAAGATGGTGGAAGCAGCAATCTGAAAGGTTCCCTGTCTTATCTGAAATGGCAAGGGATATTCTAGCTGTTCCAAAATTTATGACTCTCTGTATTAGTGTATACAAGGGATATTCTTGTGATTACTTATTTGATTTCATGATAAATTTATGACTCTCTGTATCAGTGTATCATGTATGTGTGTCAATGATTGAAATCAATGTCCCTCATGAGGATGGGAACTGAAAAACTGGAAAGTCCTCATGGCTAGGTAACATTTTAAATGTTTCTGCCATTGAGCTCAGGTATCAGTATAAGTATTCACTATGCAGTAATCAGTAGTGATTTGTTCTTAGTTCTGACTTCTTAGTAGGTATCTATATAGCTGTATAAGTATTATTGTGCAATGATGATGCTTCCACCATGTTCTCTGAATATATAGAATTGGGTTTGGTATGTTGCCTATGAAGTGTGATGTTTATGCCATACTCATTGAGTAATGTGCCCCCAATCATACGAATTCTTCCGTGTACTGCTACTACGACATTTGCTGCAACGTACAACTCGATCGACGACTATGACAACATCCGTGGGCGAGCGGATTCCGAAAACTGCTGTGATGAAGGACTCCGCGGTTGAGACAGTTTCTACGAACTTCATCTACGAATTGTTACGAACGAACGAAATCAGATTGAGGCAAAGAGTAATTGGAGCCAGTGTTGCAAAAATCGCGCTTAGGCGCTAGGCGCTAGGAGGCCGCCACGAGGAATGGCCTCGGCGGCCTCCTCCGCGGCCGGCCGCCTAGCTGGCCGGTTCGGCGGTTCGGCGAATTTTTTTTTTTTTTTTTTTTTTTTGAAAAAGGCGGTTTGGTCCACTAATTTATCAAAAAATGCTTCTTTAGCTCTTAATTTTAGTTTTTTATGTATTTAGATGGTTTAAACAATCTTTTGAACAATTTTACAACCATTTTTGTAAATAGTTTCTAAGAAATAACTATGGAAACCTTATGTTTTAGTACTAAATTTTAAAAATTTTTAATTTTAAAATTTTTTTTTTTAATTAAAAAAAAATAAAAAAAATTAAAAAAAATAAAAATAAAAAAATAAAAAATCAGCGTCTAGGCGCCCCCTTGGCGCATAGGGGGCGCCTAACGTTTTTTGCAACATTGATTGGAGCCTACTTTGTTAATTCCCTCTAGTTAGAAAAATAAAGATTATTTATTTTATAGATTTTATGTCGTTTAAGATATGAATTTAATTTGTGAATGTTAGAGAAATTAGGGTTATTTTGAGCCTAAATTATTATAAAAAGGGTTGAATTTTTCAATAGAGGATAGTTAGTTTTTAGAACAATTTTATTTCACTGTAAACATTTCATTATGATGTGTTGCTAAGTTTATTTTCCAACTCAAGAATAATTGAAGTTTTGGTTCTTTTAGAATTGTGAGATCTAATTTGATTTTCTTTTATGCTATACAATTTATATGTCTTCTATTATCTTGATATTACTGCTTTGATTAATTGTACAATAAGGATCCGTTGTTCAAATTTCAATCCAGTAAATTACCATTTAGAATTCTTGAATCCGTAATTGTTCAAGTGCTCTAAACCTTAGTGGTAAAATAGTATAGTTGATTATAAAATAGATTTTCAATATATGTTATGGAGATGTATGATCTAGTTTAAATTGACCGAGCTTGCGAGTCTGTTGGCTAGAATTGGTAGTCTTTCTAATTCTTAATGCTGATAGTTAATTAAATCCTAAGAGTTTGTTTAGGGTTGTTAATTATCTAGGGAAGTAATTGAAGAGCCCGTTTTGATTACCGATAAAGTAAGGAGAGATATGTTGTTAGAGCTTGTTAATAACCGTAACCAATTTGTTGTAGGATAAAATGATTTACACTTTATTTCAATGATCAATTCTTTGGATCAAGTCTGATATTATGCCTTGGGTTGGATATTAGTTTTTTCCATTGATTCATTTTATTTGCTACTTGATATTCTTTGTCATTTTATTAATGCTTTTTGAACTTGAACTATCTTTATTTTAATTTTGGTATAAAATTAAATTGAACCAATCTCTGTGGGTACGACCTTACTCATCACTATTGCAATTTATAGAGTAAGTAATTTATAATTTGTTGGATTCGACACCCACCACGTAGCACTCATGGTGTAGGAGTATAGCTTTGTGCGAAGTACTCGGGAAGGCGGAATAACAAGAGGAGCTTGTGAAAAATCTTATAGGCGGAGTGTAGCTTTGTGCGTAGCACTCGAGTAGTGTTAGCCGGCACTTGTTCACTACTGTATTTGGGTGATCGAAGATAGTGAATTCCCTCCATAGAGTGAAAAGAGAAGAGTGGCTTAGGAGGATTACACCACCTCTGAACCACTATAAATCGCTCTCTCTTTACTTTACTTACTACTCGTTTATTTGTGCATGCCTATCACTGCGAACTAACTCGATTACTATTCATCGCTTATCTTTAACTGTCTGGGTTTGATAGTTCCCACGTTTGCATGCGAACCAAACTTTGCATACATCTGATTTGATTTATTTCAAGACTTTCCAACGTCTTGCATGTAAAGCATTCATCACGAGCACCACACAATCAAGCATAACACTTTACCGATTACTTATTCCGTTTTGCACTTCAAGTTGCTTATCTTGCTATTTTCTTGTTACATGGAGTTGAAATTACCAAACTGTTATTTTTTTAGAAAAAGTTTGAAAAGTCTATTCATCCCTCCCCCCTCCAGACTTTTCGCCACCCAACCGGGACCAACAGAAAAGAAGGGCTAGAAGGAACCCAGGAGGAGGTTTCTTGACCAAACGTTCCCGCTTCTTGATCAGCTCGTTGCGGCGCAGAGGGACGTTGCTCAGCCCGACCCTCAAGGGCTCCTGTTGACTCCGCTTGGTTACCTGAGAATTCCTCAATCTCGCGTAGGATCGAGTTGTAGGAGGATACCGGGAAGGACACTTTTGTATTTTGCATTTGAAAAATCTTATTGGTGTTTAATATATTTTCATGGACATTTTTGAATTCATTTAATTTCGTGTCTTCACCCCCACTTAAATAAAATCATGGGTCCTCCCCTGACTAGCTGCCCAATCATTAATTTTGCAATCTTCTCATGCTATCGTTAGAGTGAACAAAGTAGGTCACACTATTTATTTAGTACATGTATTTGGCTTTCACTTTTAACCAACCATGAATACTCATGCATCACGAGTTTTTTTTACTAATGTCTCAAATTTATTGGACTAATCCTGAAGAATGATAAATCATACACCAGCACTTCTTATTGTTTACTAGTCATCTACTGAGCTATGCCCTAGAGGCTGTAATACCAATTTCATTTTAGCTCATCCATTAACACCATAACACAATATTATATATCGGAGGTGTTAGGTAGTGATGAATGATATGATTTTTTAGGAAACATCATTAAATGAAAGATGTTACGTTGTAAATAAATCGTTCAACAATATAAATAGAACATTATGCAGTGGCCCGCACGGGTTTAACTCATTGCTTCAGTAGGTAGTTTTTGGGAGAAAAAGATTAATATTAAGTAGTGATCATGATTAATAAGCAGAGCCGGTTCTGAGCATGTTTAACATGCGCGATCGCACAGTGCCCCGAAGGGGTCCCATAATTAAAATATATAGTATACATGATTTTAGGCTAAGGGTAAGAAGATTGGGCCAATTTGTGATAAGGTGAATTGAGCTCAATTGGTAATTACTTTAAAAAAAAAAAAGTATGTGTATGTGTGCGCGTGCTATATATATATATATATATATATATATATATATATATATATATATATATATATCCTAATCCCTTGATTTCGCCATTCCCTTGATTCCGCCATTCCCTACTTTTGGTGGTTCCAAATTCCTAAATCTCAATTGACAGGTACCATTGTTAATTAAGAATGACAATTCTCAATTCAAAATAAAAAATAACAATTAAGCATCTTCGATTGGGACCTTCTGCTAATTAGCAATTACCTTTATTTTTATTTTTTAATTTAATTCCCAAATCTCAATTAGCGGCTCTTAAAGAGAGATAAACCGTGTGGTGATATTGATGGAAATGAATGATATATTGAACCAAAATTGCTTAGAGATATTTTATCGAAAGAAAAGATAGGGGCAGTGAGTATATTGAATTCATTGAAACATATGGGTTGTTTCCCAAATGCTACTATTGCATATCAAATATTACTGACTATCTCAATTACTGTTGTCTGAAGAAAGGAGTTTTTTTAAAGTTGAAATTGTTGAAATCTTACTTACGATCAAGTGTGTTGCAAGAGAGAGTCAATGGAATAGCTTTTATCTCCATTGAAAATGAGCTTTTAGAAGAAGTTGATATCAAATGTTTGGTAGATGATTTTGCATCTAAATGTATTACACGGCACCGCATATCACTTTTTAAATGAAATTTTAGATGT